CCAGGACTCGCTCATAATGAATTTTAGCCAGCTGAAAACCGACGCCCTCTCCATTAATTACTGTGACGACATTGGGAGACAAGAAACCACGAATATTCCGGCCTCGGAGAAGCAAGAAAATTGTTATCCGACTTAGAAATTAGCTATAATGTCTTTAGCCTGAAGGATATACGGCTGTCGTCCTCGTTTCTTACTGGAAGAGAAGAAATATAGCTCGCCCTTAGAAACCTCCAAAACAAGTTTAGGTTTTATCTGGTTAAATCACAGTGACGTAATGGCAAACATTTCTTTATCCATCAGAACTGACAATAAGTAAGATTTTTCTAAATTAAAATTATTCCAAACATTTTCTTTTTGATAAATTCAGAGGTCTTCAATACATAGAAATAAAAGGTTGATTTATTTAAAAAAGATATTTATCATAAACCATGTATAATAGTACTATTATTCACGGAAAATCGTTAAAAAACTGCCGTTCTCCTTTCTTGAACTGTACAGTATGGAAAAAATTCATTTTCACATTTCCTGAACCATTTGCTTTTGTATTTTGGTTTTGTTTTCTGTGTTCTATGGTTAGATTTTAACTTAAAGATAACTGCCATAATCGGACAACAAAATCGAGTTCGTAATAGGATTTACGTCATTTACAAATAGGACGGAAAATTTTAGCTGATGTAACATGTGAAACAAGATGGAGAAATTGTTTTCGAGGACTAAGCTCAGTTTCAGAACGTATCTGTACATTGTTTATCGGATGCTTCTATGCAAACCCTATTAATAAACCGTAAATCCCGAGTAATCTTTATACCTCGCCAACGGATCGCACATAAGCTCGCTTATTCATCTCACACTCATCTCAATCTCTTGCTAACTCTTCACTGTCAAACCTTACGATCTATCTTCCACACACGATCTACCACATAGTGGTTTCATTATGATAATACATTTCTACTCTTCTCTCTCATTTTCTATATCTCCGTCTCCTTCCTGTCTCTCCCTCGTTTTCTCTTTCTGCCAAAGGGTTAAATTTGAACAAGAAGTTAAAGTTTTCTCTTTCCCAAGTTCAGCCTGTTGTCGTTTCCTTTTTCTTTTTGTCTCTCTTTCCGTCTGACGGTCGTCTCTCTTTCTCACTCCTTCTCCGGCCTTTCTCTTGGTTCGTACACATTTATGTCGCTCTCTCCCTCTCTCTCTCCCCCTTTCGCTTTTACTCACTCATCCTTGAATTCTGGTAGCCTGCCTTGTTTTCCTTTTCTTTCTCCTAATATTTACCAATTCCCCATCCTCTGTACCTTCTTCCATTTTTCTTACTCTTGTTCTTCGCCTTTCTCTCATTCTCAAAAATTCCATTCTTTATTTCGCATTAACCTTTTATTCCCAGAGTCTCTTTATCCCCTCTATTGTTTGATCTGAATTATTATTCTAAATCAAGTTTTCTTCTTTCTTTCACTTATTCTCTCTCTCTCTCTCTCTCTCTCTCTATATATATATATATATATATATATATATATTTCTTATTTATCTTACGCTCTCACTCTATGTACCTATCCATGTCTGTGTCTGTTTGTATCTCCCTCGTTCTCTCTCTATCTGTCTACCTCTCTGCCTATCTCTCCGTACCTAGCTCTTTCCTTCTCTCTTTCTCTTCGTTCTCTTCGACAAAAAGGTTTAAATTTAAATAAAAATAACAAACTTCCTCTTTCCACGCTCAGCTTATCTGCATCTCTCTCTCTCTCTCTCTCTCTCTCTCTCTCTCTCTCTCTCTCTCTGTATCTATTGATGTATGTACACATCTACCAATTTAAACCACTACCTTCTCTCTCTTTCTGTCTCACTCACTCCCTATTTGTCTATACCTCCTCCATTCTCTCTTCTCCCTCTTTCTACTTTTTAAGAGTGTTGATTTTCTCTGCTATTCACACACACACACACACACACACACACACACACACACACACACACACACACACACACACACACACACACACACACACACACACACACACACACACACATACGCGCGCGCGCGCGCACGCGCACGTACACACACACACACAGACAGAGTCTTTAATTCACACTTATTCACTCTCACTGCCTCTCTGTCTGTCTCTCCCTCTCTCGCTCCCTGTCCAGTCTCTCTCTATTTTTCTCTGTCTCAAATGCATTGACAATAATTAGTCACTGATCTTTATGATTTCATTTTTTTAAACATTTTCACAACCTTTGATGTAACATCATATTAAATGTCACGTCCTTGATTATCCTGGATTATTTCCATTTTTTATCAAAGAGTTGCAAAGTACAATTGCATTGACGTTAATTCGACCTGCAGTGTTTTGGTTTTGTCGATTTTATTCATTTAGTTTTATGCCGGCTGTGGTAAAACGAAATTAGATTGTATCGCATTGTGAATCTTGAACTGGAATAAGATAAGTTACGGGGGGGTGTCTAACACAAACCGTGCGAATTGGACGGATATTAACAGATGGATGACGTTTCTGTAAGACGCGGGCTCCAGGCTATCTTAATTAGGTCAGTGTCAATTGTGTTATAGTTCAGTTTATAGAGTCTCAACCTTAAAGACTGCCATAAAACCTGATTATTCCGCAATCTCTCGAACAATTAGACACTTTCTAATGTTAAATATTTCCAACACCTCGGAATAGTTATAAAACGATATTGTTTTCTCCGTTAGTGAAACTTTCCCAGACGGGTTAAATAAGTTGACGCGGTTTTAGCGGGACAAGGGGGCGGGAGATCGGGCGTCTTTTCTTATCTGACGCGTCAAAGTTGAAATTCAGCGAGGGGCTGAAACTGAGAGGTGAAGTCAAGCAGATTCAACTCAAAGTTTGTCAAAAGTATATCTATCAACGTCATAGATATCTACCAACGCCCTTAGTTACATAACTTTTGATGCGGAGAAAGATAAGATATATATTAGTTAGTTAGAGAGAGAAAGATAGATAGGTAGACAGATAGACAGATAGATAGATAGATACATAGAGAGAGAGAGAGAGAGAGAGAGAGNGAGTGAGATAGAGAGTGAGATAGAGATAGAGATAGAGTGAGTGAGAGAGAGAGAGAGAGTGAGTGAGAGAGAGAGAGAGAGAGTGAGTGAGTGAGAGAGTGTGAGTGAGTGAGTGAGTGAGTGAGAGAGAGAAAGATAGATAGATACATCGATAGATACAAAAAGAACAAGAGAAAGAGAGAACAATCGGAAAAGGAAAATATGTATAGGCCTGCGCAGATAGGCGAGCGTTATACTTAATTATTACAATTAAGTTTGGCTTATGTTGACGTTTAAAAAACTATCATCTGACAAATTTTTCACTCACAGTGAGCGATTCCTAGACTGCTATTACTATCATTTATTAATCTAATAAATTAACATAAGCAAATTTATAATAATATTTGCTTATACAGCTTTACTATTGGAACGTAAAAATGTGAAAAGTAAAATTAACTTTTTTTTTAATCGTATTGTGTTAAAGCGTTCTTGAGCAAAGCAAAGGTGATACAAATAAGTTGATACGCCTTGCGCAACAACCATTTTGTACACGATTGTTTATTTAATTTATAATTAATTGCTAAATTACACAATCCGTAAAAATTGAAATTCTTTCAGAAACTCAACACAAAAAATGGAAAAATAAATTTTCCGAGCCCTCGTGTTTGTGTAATGTCTGTGTTATTTTTATGTTAATTTATTGAAATGAATTAATTTTTTAGCAAGAAAGGAGGAGTTTAAAGGAGTATAACTCCGCCCCGAGGAGAATATCGATACTGTGGGGTGAGTGTGTGATCTGGTGCGTAAAAGCAAATTATTAATTTGCTAAGTTATTAATTATTAAAGTAAGTAATTGTAAGTAAGAATGGAGTGGATTCAATCACGCCCCGGGGATATCGAGTTCTCTGAATGTGACCAGACTTCTACGTTTGTATCAGGTGTTGTGTTTATGTCAATTTATTAGAATGAATGTAATTTATTAGAGTGAAAGGGAGGGGTCGTTTAACCCCGTTCCGAGAAATATCGAGTACTGTGGGAGCGTGAATGTGACCAGACTTCTACGTTTGTATCGGGTGTTGCGTTTAAGTTAGGTTATTAGAATGAATGTAATTTATTAGCGTGAAAGGGAGGGGTCGTTTAACCCCGTTCCGAGAAATATCGAGTACTCTGGGGTAAGTATGTGATGTCTGGACAGTAAAAGTAAGTTATTGATGATGACATCTGATCCGAACCCGATTCCATTCACTACACGCACTATCGTACAAAATTACGTCCGATCCTAACAACCCTCCACGCCGCTTAAGAAGGCCTTGTGACCACCTAACATAACCTAAAACCAATCCTCATAAATACTGATAGTTCCAGCAAGGCTTCTCGCCATCGGTTTAACAGGTTCTTTCCAGATTTTTATTTCTATTATGCTGAATTCGGGCAGTTGATTGCAAATGTTGGTTCTTCTGTACTTTGTATTAAAAATCCCAATCAGTATAATTATTATGTTCAATTTCAATACAACAGTTTGTATCTAACGTATATTTAGAAAAAAAATTGACAATCAAACTGCTGGTAGAACTTTTCACAATTCTGTATGATTGGGATAAATCAAGACGTTTCTATAGCATAGATGGCGTAAAGGTTCTGCGGTTATAAAGGGGGGAAAAGCACCAAACGTGGGGTACAAAAGAAAAAAAGGGGGGAGCTTGTAAAAGAAGGGGATGATTTGTGCTGCCTGGGAAAAAAACGGATGTGAATTTATTGAGGTTGGCTTATTCGCGAACGACAGCAAGCAGAAAATCGGTTTTCATCCGTGAACACCTATTTCTGACAATTCAGTAAATTTAACTTCAACTAGATTAAAAATAACATTTAACACATCAAATTGGTTGTAATTTAACCCTTAAAATGTAGGATTATGTATGATTATTTTTTTCCAGGAAAAGTTATATTTCTGAAGAAAACAGGGGAACGTCACAATGTACTAACACAAACTACTCACTTGCGGCTATATTCGATACGTTCTTGAGAGCCTATAACAATGAGAAAAATGAAAATGTTTAGAATATGTGTTAGATAGTCGTTAGTTGAGCATTGCAGCATAGCAGGGGATTGCTAGCAGACAAATCACTGGGCATCACGGCAACGTTAATTGCTATAATGGGCAAATTCGCTTAATGGACGATTCACTGTTAGCGACTGTTACCAAAATATTCCAGTATCACTGAACACTTTCCAAAACTGATGATGATATCAAAGAAATGTGGTCGTGAAGTAACGATTTTTCTCGATTTTTTGGCAATGGGAAATATTTTTCAAAGCTGAAGATGAACTATCCATTACACGTTTGACGACTTTTTATGAGAACCTTTCATCTTCAACCTCCATTAAAAATGCATCAATTATGCAATAATAAAAAGGGGGGATAAGCCTAGCATGCAAAAGTTTTAATATGATAAAACCATTCATGCACGGAATATTTTTGTCTCGCTTTCTCAGTGGTGTTTAGGATGATAAAACAGATATTTTCTTTAATTAAAAAATATGCATACAATCTAAATAATCAGCATCCTTTTTGTATAATTCATAGACCATACTGATCGTCAAAATATAATAATTAGTATTTGTCTTTTTGAAAGAATTATTTAAAAAAAACTAAATTAATAATAAACAACACTGGACTGTATTATATAGGTTATTCCATGGAGATGCCCCTTAACTTGATGTTTAATTCGTTCCAGAAACAACAATTTCATCGTTGTTTTTGATGTGAAGTACCCCCTACGGAACATTTTTTAAAAGGATTCCCTTGTTCACGTCGTTTTTCAAAATTAAACCAATTTTAAGAATTGTACGTATTATCCCGGGTTCGATATCTTAATTTTCGTAGACGTTATTAGAGTTTTATTAGGTATTAACACTTTCAAATCGGTCGGTTTAAAAAAATACCATTCTAGGAAACTTAATTTACCTATTTAGTGAAGAATGAATATGCAAAATAATCATGGCTATGGATAAGAGAAATATTAGGAAAAACAGACTGCCAGTGTTAAAGTTATGTTCAAATTGTTTTTCCTTATTTTCAACACATTTTTCTATCGTTTTTTAATTTCGATAGACGTCACATTCTTAATTACCGCTTCCGAAATGTAGTGACATTTCTCTCCTTATGATCATCGATGTCAATCAACGGAATTTTGTAGCCTATAGATTTTAAATGGCCCTCAAAAGGAAAAGTCTAGCGGTGTTAAGTGTGGGGAACTCGGAGTCCTGGGTACTTTGCCTCGAGTGCCAATTCATCAACTCTCAAAATTCTCTTCGAATAAATGTCAAATAGATTGTGAGTCAAAAAGCCAAAAGTTTCATCTGGTAGCCAGAGGTAATACTTCGAACTAGGTTGGTAATTGTCCCAAAAATCAAAAGCATTTTTCACTATTTAAAGCTCCTTAATAAAAAAGGGGCAATTTACTCGGTCGAGGATAATACCTATAAAAAAATTTATTTTTTGTAGTTACGCAGTCTTTCTTATCGAGTGCCCATGCGTCCCAGACAGGAACCACCAAACCACGGCACCCCGTCACGGGCAAACTTGGTGGGCAGGCGTCGGTAGTACTCGCTCCTCCTATGACATCGGCATCCTATCACCCGATATAAACATAAAAGTCTGGTCACATTCACTCTCTCCCAGAGATCTCAATCCAAATCAGGGGACAGTCCAGCAGACCCTTCCTAACCCTTGGTTGCAAGGGGTGGGGGTTTCCAGGTAGAAAATAATGTTGCAGCCTTGAGACCGTGAAGCACTGTCTTAAATAAAAGCTGGCTAGTGTTTCCTAGCACGCATGGTCGCCTTAAGCAGCCTCTGCATGCATTGGGACGATAAGACCAAAGAAACGTATAGAGTGCGAGGACGCTGAGACTACGCCTACCTAGTCCCTCGAGATGGGTTAAGGGGGTTGCTGGCTTGAAAGCTAGCCACGAACGGCGGGTGCTGTAACAGAGGTACACGCGGGTTAGGGTACCAGATCCTGTCTATATATATTTATGTACACGGATGGGAGATGGTGCATAACCATCTGAAGTGCGGGACAGCGTATTTTCGTTCTAAGCTCAAGCCCAGTTGCATGGGTAAGGACTCGCAGGGTTGAGTTGTGAGACCCCTAGCGAGGACATAGAGAAGAGGCTGTCTTATTCGTGGCTGTGAACCGTAGTAGTTATGAATGACCTCCGAATTACCTCCCGACCTCGCGGGAATCGGAAGGATCGGATTGCCGGGAGCGTATAGCCACCGAGGAGCTATGACTACGCAGACGGCGTCCCTCGGATGCGTGACGAATGGTGGGTGGGGGCGGATGCTTGTCGGTGGCTGCCTTTACCGTAGGCATAGTCTCATCTAGGGGATGGCTAGAGATTCCACGTCAGCGGAACCCCGCATGCTAAAGAACCTCAATGTTAAATGACATTGCGACCCCAGTGGGAAACACTCCCCCCAGAAAAGGTACTCGATATTCCTCGAGGCGAAGTTAAACAACCCCTTCCTTTCACGCTAACAATTACACTCATTCCAATAAATTAACATAAATAACACAGTCACAACGCAAGCACACACAATCGTGACAAACACTACTTTGATTGAAAAGTCCGTAAGACCTGAGGTACCGGAACGACGATCATCGGCGTCTGCCGTGCCCCAAGACTACACACATATCCGACGTTATGCCAAAATATTGCCAACGTATGTTAGGCCTTCTAGAATAAAAAATGGGCTCGACTGTTACTTTATCCTTGCACATCTACGCGGTCGCATTCCGGCAAAAACGTGCCCGTGAGTTATTCTTCTCTCACCCATCTTGTTTTCTATCAATATAGCCATTTATCTGCTGTTAAATTTATTATATAATTTTCTGCGAGTTTCTTATTTTTTTCAATTCCATCATCAGAATTTGCGTTTTTTGATAATTTTTTATCAACGGAATCACATCGTCTGCTAGCTTTCGTTTTTCATGGTTCAAGTCCCTCATTTTTCGGGGATCTTTATAGATATTCATTTACCACTATAGTAGTATTATTTCAAAGCATCTTGTGTGAAATTATTTAAGTTTTTTGCTTCACGATCAAGCAATCATTTTTTTTAATTTAACGTTTAGCCTGATTATATTTTAAATTTAAAATATAAAACTATTCCAGTCAGTAGTTTAATTGTCTAAGATATTCTGACTATTCGGTTTTTTGACCATCCCTCTATGTAGTATTACTATGATTGGACATTGATCAGAACGTAAATCAATAGTTTCCTCAACATTACTATAATTATGTGAGACTTTCCTTGGTACAAAAAAATCTAGCAGATCAGGTATTTTATTATCTGTTGGCCAATATTGTGGCAACTCTGTTGAGTATGCAAAAGCAATTTGAAAAAACCTTCTGATATATAATAATTTTGAAATACTTGAAACCCATGTTAAAACAATATATTTAAAGAACCCAATTTTTTGTATGGTTTTTTGACATGAACACGCGAATTGGTTTCAAATATTTTTGACCTAATAACATTCCTAATTCATTAAAATCCTTGATGTCCGTAGCCTCCCCCTGTAAGTGATAATTGAATATAAGAATTTTTTCTCAATAATGAACTATAGAAATATATTAAAATACAAGTAAAATATAAAAATTTCATAACAAAACATCTATGTAATTGGTCGCGCAAGTATATATTAAAAATAGTTTAAGACAGATATGTAGAATGATTATATACATGTTTCCGTCTTGTATTCTACGAGGAAAGCAACATGTGCAAATACCCCTCATTTTTAATAATAAATTATTTATGCAATCAAGAGGAAAAGCTTGATAAAAGGGAATATACAAAAAGAATACGTTTTGTCAGTTTTATATCATTGTCATTTGATGAATAATATGTACTACAATTACCTCCATATAATTTGCTTTTTGATATACAGGAAAACACAATATAAATAAATATTACCCGAATATTATTGAATTGTATTTATTCCTAATTGGCATAAATTATAATTTTTATCCATTCTCTCTCTCTCTCTCTCTCTCTCTCTCTCTCTCTCTCTCTCTNAACGGTATTTTGTTGAGTTGTTAGATTTTTTCTAAACCACGTTTTTTTAGTTAATCGGGGTCCGCTTATTCTCGCTGTATGATTCAATCGAACTAAATAAAAATAGAACCAAATAGGAAAAGAAAGTAAAACTTCAATTTTTCAATTCTAAAACAATGATAAAGGTTTTTTGCAATATGCAACGTTTTCCTGAACCGATTTTTAAATAGGTTTCTTAATTTTTTTAAAACTCAAAATCTTATTGACTCATTGATAAATCTACAAATATAGATACATGTTATTCTTACAAAACATCATTTCTCAAATGTTTTGAGAAATTAAAAAAAAAGCTTTTTATTGCAATGTTTCAAAGAGTTTATGCTAAAACAACTATTTTTTTCTAGGTCGAGTAGTTTTTGAGAAAACCAGGGGTGAGACCCACGTATTAATTAAACTACATAAAATTTTACAAATGCAAACGTAGTTCAAAAACAAAAATCACACACCAAGAATCTATTATTATCACGAATAAATCACTTTCATTGTACTGATAGCATCTAATGTTGTTAACAGAACTGTTTTAATTAAAATTGTTTTGGTTCTATCGTATGTGTCAAATCCTGTCGATTCAAATGACTACATGACTTCGAAACAATGAGTTAAATCTGGAACCGCCCCATGAAATAACTGGGCCACGGCTGACTAATTATTTTTATATTGCTCACCTGACTAAGTTATAAATGGCTTATTTTCTTTTCTTACAATTTCTTTAACTTATGAATTTATTAATATTGTAACAAACCAAACGTGAAAATATTGTTGTATCAAATTATATTTTTCTTAACACGTATTTAAATTTACGCTGAAGGGTTCAAACTGACATAAATGAAAACGAAGTGTGGAAATTAAAAGATTTTTGTTCATAAAACCATTTCATACGTAGTTTGTGGTATATTGTCACCAGAAGCAGTAACTTTAATATTATAATGTGTGTCCTGTTCATGATTTCCCAATCGTAATATCTCTTCACCGAGTCGAAATATAAAATAACGCCCAAAGAAAAGATTTTTCCATTTTACCCCCGGTTTATAGATATATAACTATCTGCCATGAAAATAATAAACTAAGCCATTTTACTAAAAACCAAACAAAAATCGTGGTAGAATTTTCTA